AATATTGTGACTGAGAAATCTAAGTTGAACTGACCTCTCACAGATTCAGTTCCAGCTGACTAATCACAATCCTAAGGAAGACCCTCAAGATGATTACATTACCCCTTCCCTGGTGACCCATCAACAAACTAATGAAATGACCAGGAATTCAAATTTACCTTTGAGAACCTAGACATGAAACAAAACTGAGGGTAAACAACTGTCTTCAGCTCAAACATTTAGGACAAAACCAGAGAGGAATAAGTAAGTTTCCAACAAGATTAAGAGGAAACCAATTTAAATTTAGTCAAAGTGAATCCTTAAGGACTGTCTGACTGTCAGGATTAATATGGATATAGTACACCTATCTCTAGGACGGGGGTTCCCAAACCTGGGGTCGGAAGGCTCATTAGGAAGGGTCGCAAAGAGGTCATGGGGTCGGTGGGGTCCTTTGGGTCTGCCAGTGAAATTATTTGGGGTCGCACTGGATAGTTGACAACACTGGATGGGGTCGTGCTAGAAAAAGCTTGGGAACCCCTGCTCTAGGAGATACAGGGACCAAGCACCATTATATGATGTATAACTCCATAATTTAGAAATTTGGATCTCTCTCAGCTGGGTACCCATACACAATCAAACAAACTAAATATACCCCCAATGTGAATCAGCTACCCTTAGGGCAGAAGTCAAGCACTGTTCCCATATATCACCTGTGAGTATTACATATATTACGGAATCACCCGGCTTAATTTTGTTATCACATATTTGACTTTATTAACTTATTGTATTTAAGAATTCCTACTTTTTGTAATGACAGAGTCCTTTGTGTATTAAATATCTATGTTCATTTGATTATCGCAAAACTAAGTATGGGGACTACAAAGCTGCCAATGGAGCAAATTAAACAAAAATGTGCTCTATGGGAAGCCTTCATTATTCAAGTAATTAATGACCACCTAATCCTATTGAAAATATAAATGTAAATTAATAAAGAATGCACCTTTTTTAGGGAGATAAATGATTTCCTACAACCTTAAGAAAAATGTATAAATATTATACGTAATACTTTTGGTCCGGTCCAGAGCATACACCATGGTAATAATTTATACAAAATAACATGCTGGTTAGTTATTCTGAATTACAATAATAATCACTTCAAATTCAAATAAGAAGGAAGCCCTAATTCCAAAAATATATTCACGCTTATGCACCAGTAACAGTAGAAAATCTGTGATGAAAAGCTGGAAGCCTAAATGTAAATGCTCATCACCTTCATTTTTCATATGCCCAAAAATCATCAAGTTTTGTATACAGTACAGTACATCTTGGACAGTATTCTAGGCTATAGTCTCTTGCAAACATATCTTACCCTTCTTGAAATAAATGGCTTCCAGATTTAAAGCTATGTGCCTGGGGAAGAATCTACCAGGGGCACCTTGTGTCTGTTCACATTCCTATCTGTAGGCAATCCCTGTATTCTCAAAAAACCTGCCTATATATCTTTAAGAAACATTTCCGATGAAAAATTTAGAATACAATTGCCATATGTAGAGATAAAAGAGAGAGCATACTTCAAAGGGGGGATGGAAAAAGAGAAGGGTAAGGAGATGGAAGAATATGGCTTTAGGATGCACTAGGGCTCAGTATCCAGGAGCTAGCAGTGTGTGTGTGAATGAAGAGAGAACATGGTATTAATTGACCTCTAGGGAGGGACATGTGGCTGATTGATGAGGTTAGCATGTGTGTGAAGCACGAAGGTACACCAAATTTGGGACCTAGTTGTGGATAGGGAGTATAGTACTAGAGAACAAATTTATACAGCAATAAGAATACAGTACAGTAAATGAAAGAAAACAAATTAAGAGAAACTGTGTTATCACTGCTTTTCCTTCCAGCTACCTTGTATTACGTGGGAAAAGCCTTGAGAGAAAGAAAATACATCGTCGTTTTACAGCCATTTTCTGCGCTTACATTGGTTAACTGCAGTTACCTGATGGCAGGTATATTTTGTTATATGTTAGCTTGTTATACCTGTACATGTACAGCTCCTCCCTGACTTATGACGGGGTTAGGGACCCAAATCCAGGTCGTAAGTCGAAAATGCTTAAATAATACATAGAAAATCTAAAATGGGTGTCTCTTTTTCTTCTAAGCACCTCAAAACTCTCACTTTTAAGCTTGCCAGCCATTTTAAAGTGAATTACAAACGAAAAGTTTCTATGTGTACTGATGCTGGGACTCGAAAATACGCAATTTGACAAAATTTTGGTACGACTGAAGCAGGTCGTAAGTGCGAGTGGTCATAAGTCGAGTAGGTCGTAAGTCGGGGAGCAGCTGTATTCATATTAATTTTAAAATAAGGTATGTCTGTTGAGTACAGTACTGTACAGTACAGTGATATCCCCATCAGCCGGAACAATTAGTGCAGAGCACTTCCGGGGGATGAGAGATTTCCAGTTAACCAGACGACTTTCTCAAACCCAGAAAATATTCCTTATCCCCGGAATATTTTCCGGTTACTGGGAAAAGTTTCTGAGTGTCTAAACTAGACATCTTGCACACGCAGACACTAGCCCACTTCCCCAGAATGTTTCTGGGTGCTGGAGATGTTTTCCTTGAGTCTAAACTACCGGAGCCTGTAAATGCAGTTCTAATTGAGTTAGAAACTCCATTTCTTTACTATAATAATCCAGAATAGATTATCTAAAAGCTTGGTAAAACTAATATATTTGAAAAATAAAATCTATATGATATGGGCGTGAATGAAACTGTGTGTTACAGCAAAGACTGGTATTTTTCACTCCCTTGGAGCTGTGGGGGATTAGTGGGTTTCATGTACCTGGCCTGATTCAATGTCAGGTTGAGGTAGGGTGGGGGATTAGTGGTCTCATATTACTGACCTTCTGATGGAATGTCAGGTCAGCCTTTCTTGGGTGGGGGATTAGTGGGTCTCATGACCTGAAGATGTCTTGAATAAACACAAAACCTAAAGTATTTTTAGAGAGATTGTGATAAGTACAGATATAAGTATGAATGAATATCCCTTCAACATTACCGGGTATGTTACATAACATTTTAAAATATGGAGTGAGAAAGGTGTGGGTGATTAGAGAGTTGGAGTGGAAATGAGTGTTGCCAAGTGCTCCTCAACAGCTGATATTTAACTTGCTACCATGCAGTCACACACACACACACACACACAGATATGTCTTAATTCCCTTGCTGAGGGTGTGAGAGTGGAGTTGAGGTGTGCCTGTGGTTGTTGAAGGGTGTGTTGACGGACGTAAATCTTTTTGGGGGGCGATGGGGGAGGGTCACGCGGTCACTTCCTCACTCAAGCGTGGCTAATTGTGATAGGGAGATGAATTTGATACCATAATGATCCTAATAAATTCTCTACAAAAGGTTTCCAATAAGATATCCTAAAACAAAATATTTCTATATGATAGTGATGGGAATTCCCTTCTTTTATAAAAAACGTATGTTGATACCAGTCAGTAAAATCAGTTCTAATTTTGTTAGACACGCCATATTTTTATCAAAATAATCCTGTATACTTTATCTAAAAGTTTGGTTAAATAAATATGTTTAAAAAACAAAAGCTCTATATGATACAGGCATGAATACAGGGTAGAGCTGTTACTTTTATCCTCTTCACCACTGATCGACTCGTTAGTCGCATAGGCGATCGTCACATCTCTGGTACACACTTCACTCAATTGACTGTAATACATAACTAATTATGTCTTAACACTTGTGATGAAGGGAGATTATTGGGTCACGTTACTAACCTGACCCAGTGTTGGGTGGGGGATTAGTGTCTTTTTACCTGAATATATTTTGAATGACATTATTCTTTACCTATGAGGTATATACATAGTACTATACTGTATTGTATATGAAGGGTACATGTATTAATAAGCACAGATTATTACAGTAACATATCTGTACTAATTAATGAAAAACAAATAAACAATATTGTATCATGAAGAGCGAGTACAGTAGACAAACAGTGAGACACCCTTGTGGGAGTGGGGTGGCGCAGTCACCCCCCCCCCCCACGGAGGTTAGATCAACACAAAATGTCACTGACTTTACTAACAAGATTATAACTTGTATTGCTGGAATTCTTGTAAGATAGCGATTAATTTGAGTATAAACATCCATTATTTTGCACCATACATAATAATTTTAGTAATTAACTTAGTACATTTGAGTACAGGTTATGATAATTTATGTGGTTGCAGTTTCAAAGCTTTATGACATCACTAATGTATAATGGTCTCCATATTCCCTGGTTTATTCATTGATCAGATGTCTAAGTGCAAAAGTAGCCCTGTTGATCTATCATGTATCAATTAAATTAAAAAGAGAAATTACCCCTTGTATAAAGTAAAATGTTATAAGACAATGGTTTAGTAGTGCTGTTAATGTGTGTGCTGTGTAAGTGTCTTGGCATGTCACCTCGCCACCTGACTCCTGAACAAACTCTTCATCAACTTCTTTAAATCCTATAATGTGCTTGGTAAGCTCAAAACACACACACACACATGGGAATTAAGACAACATTCATCCAGTGAGGGTCTTGTTGTGTGACTGCATGGAGGCAAATTAAAAGATCAGCTGTTGAGGAGCTTATCGCTTGGCAACGCTGGTGCATGTTACCACTCCTTTCCACTCCATCTCTCTAATCACCCACACCTTTCTGCTTTCTCATTCCATATTTTAAAATGTTATGTGATGTAATGTTGAAGGGATACAACTTTGCTCATTTATACTTATACTGTACTTATCACAATTTCTCTAAAATTCAGGTACTTTAAGTTTCGTGTTTATTCAAGACATCTTCAGGTCATGAGACCCACTAATCCTCCACCCAAGAAAGGGCAATCTGACATTCCATCAGAAGGTCAGTAATATGAGACCACTAATCCCCCACCCTACCTCAACCTGACATTTAGTCAGGTCCCCCCCAAAAAATACAAATAAATAAATAAATAAATAAATAAATACAAAATAAATACTTTAACTTTCATCTTTATTCAAGATATTTTTCGAAAATTCTCTTGATTTTCAACCTCGAAAAATTTGTTCCTAAAGCCGGAAATTTTTGGAAAATTCCGGCTTTGGGAATAATTTTCTGAGCAAATTTCAATTCCGGCTATCGGAGATTTCCAGGTTTGAGGGATTCCGGCTAACGGAGATATTACTGTACAGTATACAGTAGAGAACATTACACTATTCTTAAGACAGTGTTAAGTTTTTCTCATGCTGGGCTTCCCAGTACATCAAAACACATGTTTACTGTAAAAATAATGAATTCCTTTCGAATCATGAGGCAAGTGGTAAAAATATTCAGAATTGTATGACTATTTCAATTGTTTGGAAAATTCAATATTTTGCAAAAATTCAATCAACTCACAGCCCTGACAATATCAAATTAGCAAGTGTTCAATTTATATATAAAGGCATGGAAGTAAGAGAAGTGTTGGGCAGAGAGCATGTCGGGGTAATACTCAGATGGTGTGGACATATTGTTGAAAGTAAAGTGAAGGTTTGGTAAGAAGAGTGTCAAATTCAGAGATTCATTGTACGAAGGAGGGGGTGGGAAGACCAAGAAGGATATGGAAGAATGGGATTGAAGGAAGTGTGGGGATGATCATCCAAGTGGTAACAAAGTGATTTAAGGTGGAAGGAAGCATTGTTGATGAGTGATGCTGGCTTGTGTGTAGCAACAGGGAAAAACCAGATTTTGAGCTTCTTGTGGAAGAGGAGTACAGTACCAAAAGAGCACACATCTTTCATACCAGTATGAATGAACCAAGGGCAAATGGAAGTACTGTACATTATTGGTTTTCTTTCCAGCCATCCCACTTTAAGTAGACGCACAATTAATCTCTCTCTCTCTCTCTCGAGTTAGAGCCACATTGCCTGTCTCTCTGAGAATCAGAGCTACAGTCAAAAGGCATTATCTGACTGATCCTCCAGACAGACAAGCAATAAGTGGTTGGTTGACAGATATACAATTACCCGAAAGTGTCTGTGAGCAAAGAAGGAAAACTATGAATAAGCCAATCACTTAGTTATGAGAAAAGATAGATAGATAGATATCTAAAGACAAAAAAGATCAGTACACTTGTCACTAAAATTGAGTTTTGACAGCTGAGCACTGCACTATATTGGACACCCAAAAACTGTCTCACAATGTGACCAAAAGAAGAGATAATATTACCAAGGGTACTTAACAATTATATACAGTACTGCAAATTATATCGGGTGAGATCAGCAACGTGTGCTTAAAGTAGACAGATATGTGTAACTGCTTGCAATAGGGCTCTGTTTCAACTTGTGTTTTATTTATTGGCATAGTAATTAGTTTTAAGAAGACTGCTCCACTTGTGCTGATGCTTAAGACAGAACATGTAAAGAGAAAATAATATACTGTACCACCAAGTGAAGAAATTTATAAAAACAAAATCTTTGTCTTGACCTGAAGGAAGAATTTAGCCCCATTTAATACGAGCATAGGTAGAATGTCTGTTAGCATCTAATAACACCAATGACTTAAACTGCGTTTTTATACAATATCATTATGCAACTTTTTTATAAAAAATCTTATAAAAGTTCTCCTGTATTCAAAAATAAATAAACTGAATTTGACACTATAGCCAGAATCTACAGTCAGCATTCACAAAATGAAGTGAAATTAGTAACACGACTTTCAATTCAGCAATGAACATCTTACTACATTATTGGAATACAGTATTTAATCTATTCTTAAGAAAATAAAAAAATAAAATTTTACAAAAACTAACTCTTTACAAGGACCAATCATGAAACAGTCTAGTTCCATAATATTCCAATTATCACAAGTTCTGATTGTGTGAGAAATACCTTACCCATGTAGGGTTTATTGTTTATCAACTTATGGCTTCCATTGGTTCTGAGGAATCTTGATCAAAATCATCAAAGGTCTGGTCATGCTTTCTTTTAAGCTTTCCTTTTTCTTGGGAACACTGACCATAGAGGAGAGTCTGTTGAGCTTTGTAAATTGCCTCATATTCAATAAGCTGTTGCTTGAAGCCATCATTTGGGTTGATACAATATCTTCTGTTTTGCACAAATTCTAGTGCCTCCCTGAAATCAGATAATAACATTTTAAGTGTAAGAATCTTTATTTGTTCTTTACACAAACTGACTTGGTTATAATAACAATCTTGGAGGTTTAATCAGGCTTCAAAAGGTAGTAGAATAGTTACCTATGTAAACAAACTTTAACCACAGTTTACATCTGCACAACTGGTTCAATTATGAGAGGTGCATAATACAAGTGGGAGCCTTTTCAAATAAAGGCAGATTATAATTATCAGCACACAGAGAGATTTTATGTTGTTAAGTTTACCAGTTCTTTACTCAAAATGGAGGATTGATCCTGAAAACCTATCCATGTACTGCCACCAACAGGTGAACTGCAGGAATTCAGACATTTGAATGTGGGGAAAACAAAACACTGCATGGGCATACAGCACATAGCTTCTGCACACAAGCATCCCCCATAATATACTGTATTTGCTGTGTTAGAATGGTTTTATACTGATCACTTATTGGGTGAAATTTTTTTGTAATTACTGTATTAACTATTAACAATTAGTGAGAAGTGTAAAGTAAGTACCAGTGCATGGTAAAAAGAGGGTACAAAAGAGTTTGTCTCTTCGAGAGAGAGTCGAGACAACTAAAGGTGTTGAAAAGGGGGAAAGCTTAGTTGAAGTTGGCCAATCTTTGGGAGTTAACTGTTCCACTGTTGCAACTGTGATAAGATATAAAGTGGGAATTATGGAACGTGCAACAGGTTCAATGTCAATGCAGTAAACAATTATTGCATCTGGGAACAATTAATTATTTATAGCATTGTTTGAATGGGACTGAATGATCTGGTTTATAGACACATTTTCAGAAACATTCAATTTGTAAATTCAGGGACTGTATGTCTGATAGGGGTTTTTAGGGTCAGTGGTATCTTGTTTACAGTATAAAATATTTCATGTACAATATAGGATAATCGTGTTTATAAAATGATGTACAGTATACACGTACAGGTATCCTTCGCTAAACAAATAAGTTAAGTTGCGTGAATATTGGTAACTGATGGGAATTTAGTTTCAGCGTTGGTAACACTGTTCATAGCATTAACTGTTGTGGTGGTGGTCATGGCCAAGACACATTGGTGTGAATCTGGTGTCTTGCGACAAATTATGTCTAGGATTAAACCTAGTACAGTATTTCTCAAAAGCTGGGGTCAAGCTACATATGAGATTAGTTTATACACGAGTATTTACGATAGAAGTTATTTGTCAGAAGAAAATTGGTGTTTGTGATAAACATTTCACATGCTCTTCAGATTACCAAATATAAATGATAAAATATATAAAAATAATCCTTTTGAATGTTATTCAGTATCTTATGGTCTCATTTAAACCCTATTTCCATTATTACTTATGGCCAGAAATTCCCCACTTTGTGGTGATTTCCAGCCCACAATAGCCTCAGATAACGAGTACCCCTGTATGTGTAAAATTAAATAATTTTTTTTTAAATATAGGATGATGCAAAAACTCATCACAGGTTGAGTGTGGGCCAATGCCGAAAGGGAGTTAAGACTTCTCAAATCTTCCATAAAATAGATTACGTACTTCATAAAGCAGATTTTAGTTGACAGATACCTTTCTGTCTTACTACTAACATGCACTGATAAACAGCTGGCACACCCAGATTTACAATTCATTATCAAAAGAGTTTTTAAATAACTATATCATTGGTACAGTATTTAGAGAAAACACCCAGTTAAGCATCAAATCAAAGACTGATAACTTTTTTAAACATATTTTAATTTTACTCACTTATAAGTTAAAGCCCTTTTCTCCATGACATAAGCAACTACAATGGCTGCACTACGAGAAATTCCAAGGTTGCCATGAACGAGGCATTTTCCACCTGAAGCTAGGCATTCATCAATGAAACTCCGACACTCTGATATGTGAGATATGAGGTTCTGTGTCAAGTTGTCTGCCATATCTAGTATCAAGTACCTGTAAAAAAATGAGAAAAAAAAATTATTTTTGGATAAGCATACAGTTTATACTTATAACATTCATGAATAAGTGGGTGGTAAAAGTGACTGATGCTACCCAAGTAAAGCAGATGCAAGCATTGATTAAGTTTAGGATGCACTACAGAGGATCAACTGGGTTTTATAACTGAAAGGGAACTCTGCAAGATGTCTAAGTCATAACAGGGCTTCTGTATCTTGGGAGAGCATATGTACTAATAAGTATATACAGGAAGAACTAATATATAAGATTACTGAAACAAGTTCCTTAAAATTGTAAATAAATCATTTATTATATAAATATTCAGTATAATCCACAGCTTCAATATTACCTTCAAAGAACTTGTAATATACAGATGAGCCTATATTTTGATTCCTTTCACATCTTACTTCAACATAACAAAATAAAAGACATGTTGAGAAATGGCCTAAAATCAATACTGTATGTAACACAACTTCACCTCACTGTGTTAGACATTTAGGTACACTCTCTCTGAAATTCTTCCAGAGGTTAATAAATTATAAACCGAACACAAATGAAGGGCTGATCTTGAAATCCTATTTTTTGGCATAACCTTGGTCTTCCCCTCACCTTTCTACTATTCACCTCTCAATAATACTGTACAATCTTTGACTTGATATTCTCTCAATAAGTTCATAACACCTAGGCAGACTTTGATCTGCTTTCTGCCCAACACTTCTTGCACTTTCACATGTCATTTCTATATTTTTTATCCACTGTGTCCTATTTACCCCCACACATTACTCTTGGCCAAATCATTTCTCTTGCATCTAATTTGCTCCATCTCCATACATCCAAAACACAGAGCTCTACTACAATATATTGATTAATGTTGATTTAATTCTTAGGTTGATTAACCAAACTAAATTGTACTGTACTGTATTTATATATGTATAAACACACATTTTCATTTTTATTTCTTATGTGCACACAATGTAAAACATGCCTCTAAACTTGAAAGCTTGTATAAGAACAAATGATATGCATATAGTCTCTGTGTTTAAGATACTGTACTTACTTAATCTTGTCAGGAAAATTAGCTCGTACCATGTGCGACTCTATGTTCTGTCTGATGCATATGATGTGTGTGATCCCATGGTCTAGAAGTGTAGTGAACTGGAAAGCCAAAGAAATACATTTCAGTTTTACTTTAATAAACCATCTAGAAGGTTAACTCACAGGTATGTATAGTTCAAGCCACCCCCCCTCCCCTGCCACTTCTTTTGCTTAATTGAAAATTAATCTACAGTATATATATTTTTACTCTTTTTAGATCCTAGCCATGAATTGAGGTCCGAGGGTTACATCACCTAGACTTTCACACTGTAAAGAGTAGCTTCATCTTTCTGTAGGTTATAAGTGGTCAACAAACTCATGTGCTAAGGTAAGCCATTTTTATGATGCTAATACAAACTTAAGGAAACAATATACAGTATGTACAGTGCAAACAAATATTCACCTTACTTAATGTTATAGCACCTAGAAATGTAGTACTGTGTGTCATTATGAGATAACTGAAGCATCTACAATGGGCTTGACACTTGTAGGATATAGGCAGAGCATATTAGCAATTGACCATTCACTTGAACCTTCAACCAGGAACTACGGGTATAGAAAACATTTCTAGGCTGGATCAGATTAACTCTGATTCAAGATGGCAACCACTGGGTTTAACATGTTTAGGCAAGATTGGACAATCACATCTCCAAGACGGCCTTCTACCTTTCAGGCCAAACGCTGTACCAAGTCACCTTCAAATGACACCAACAGTGATGGGTGATATGATTGCCTAGGAAACTTAACACTAGACAGGGCTGATCAAAAGCTTGTAGGTGTTTATAATAATTTTCTAATCAAACCTTACTGGCATATGGAAGTGTCTACTACTAAACTGTACAGTATTTAGTACAGGATTATTGTAGGATAATTAAAAGTAATAGTAAGAAAAACTATACAGTAACATTGAAGCAACCTTACCCTGGATTTAGTAGCAGCACTATATGGGCCAAGAAAAAGCCCTGGAAGAATCTCTTGCATTTCCCGTCTCATGGGATAGAGCCAGTCTACTTCCATTGTCAAAACTTACCACCACCTTGCAATTCTCTGAAAAATAACACAAAAATGAGGGACTGATCCTGAAATCCCATACAAAGTCCAGCACAAACTGGGCAACTCATATATATAATCACCAAGTCTTGGGGTTGAAAACCCAGGGGTCACAGGACCCTTGACATATGTGGCTGTAGCTAAATCAGAACAATATCCCAAAATGAGCAAACTAATTATGAAAATCATTCTTTAAGTTAGTTAATCCTTCCCAAGGCAGCCTTATTCCTTGAAAAAGAAGATCTGGGAGACATAGGTTAACACAAGGCTGAAGGCTGATTCTTTGCTGCCACACTAGCTCATTGTACTTTATGATCATCATGTGTTGGCTACTAAAGAATATCTAGGAACAACAGCCTTAGATCCAGGTCACCTGAGCATCCTAAAGAGAGGATGGAGGGAATCCGAGACGCCCAATCTGTGTTCGTCTATAAAATGGGATATCAGGATCAATCCCTCATTATAGTCCACACACATCTCAGGTGACTCATTTACCTGAAGTTCAGCTTGATAAGTGAGGTAGGAGACAACAGCAGGAACACTCCCTACCCAGTGTAGTGCATAAAACTACACCTTTTCTTCTGCTAAGGGACATACAGCCATGGTCGTTTAATTGTTCACGAGGTACTGTACTGTACCATACTTGTTGATACAAGTTCTCGCCATAACCCAACCCCATCAATTCTGAACTGAAAATTTGGACATGGTGCACAGGAGAGCCATGATAGAAACAATACCCATTAGGTGATGCAATCAAGGAATGCAGTTGAACTACATGAACCTGACTACCACCTTTGTTATACAGTATATGACATACCATACATGTCCTCAAAGCCCTCATCTTAAACCTATATAATCAATGACCAGATACAATTCCCAAAAGTCACAGCGGCCAAGTGAGACCCATCCCTAATAGATCCAGAGTGTTCGAGGAAAACCTGTGATGTTCAGTAGGGTCACATTGGACTACTGGTACAGTATAGCCTTCTCATATCTGAACCAGGCAGGAATTGAATCACAGTGCTGAGGGGCAAGCACACTACTGCAAATCATTGTCAGTGTGTCCCAATCCCCTTGTTGTTGTGTCCTTCAGACTCCCCATTGTCATCATTCCACACTAAAGTGCTAATTTATACAGTATGGCTGGAAGGCTTGCCGTTCAAATTTTGGCCAGCCATTCTTCTGTTTCTGGCTTAAGCCCTTGGTTTTTTATCATAATGAACAATAACAGCCAAAAAAAAAAAAAGTATGCATGTTTACTTTTCTCTCTTCCTAAACAAGTAGAACAGTTGAAAACTTTACCACTATTAACAAAACTCAAGTTTCACCAGGTTATGTTATGTCTTGTTCCCCAAGATGGTGCTCATCATAAAATCACTGAATATTCAATGACATGTGCAAGGAGTTTATACCCAAGTACAGACTATGCTAACCTGATTTACATGTACAGTACTGTACCTGCAATAACAAATTACGAACATTTGTTCTGTGGATTATGATTACAATCAGCCTTGTGTCTGACATAGACAATGTAGGTACAGTATCTATAAAATATAAACAGAAACATAGAAAGTACAGGTAAACAACCAATGACAGTACCTAGTCACTGCAGACATATGAACAATGGTGAACAGTAAGTCATTTTGATCAAGGATTCTGAGCCGCTCTCAGCTATTTCGCGTGATCATCACACCCAATCGTGCAAACTGCCCAGGATGCATCGTGTGGAAGTATAGATGTTTTTCATACTCCACCCACCTCCCTCCTTTATCATGCTAAAAACATCAAATTTCTTTTATTTTACACCTTCATGTAAAGAAGTAGTTCAGGAAGTGAATTATTTTTTAGTGTTACATACAGAATCTCACCATTTTCTAATGTCTATTTTTTTTACTGTAGTTGGGCCTCCAATGTTTAATGTCGTCCCAACTGTAAGTATTTACTGACTTTAAAAATACTTTTATGACCTTGAAATTCTGGGAAAGCACAAAAGCAAAGATTTTCTTGACAACAAGTAATACCATGTATACCCATTTCTAATTTTTAGTTATACCTAGTACACTCACCACCCAACTCAACTGTTGGCCATACACACTAAGATCTGTGAAATATTTCACTGAGAATTTTTGTGTTTATCTGAAGGATCATTTAAGCCATACTTACCTGACTGGTGTAGGGCAGCAGGCAGTGTGGCCCCGAGGTCGTCCCCAGCAAGGACTCCCCACTACAGCTTGGCCTCTTTCTTCCTCGTCCGTTCATCTACTAACAATTGATGATAAGTCAACCTTACAGCTGTGACTTTTTGCTAAACACGTATACAGCCCTTGATACAAACACAATATTCCAAGGCTGTTGTTAATGAGTTAACTAGTGATATATGTCACAAAAATATAACATTGTCCTCTCTTGCACTCACTTGGTTCCAACAATTGTAAACAGTTCCATATATGTATGTGTTTAAATTGTGTTTATAAAATTAATAAACCAAATTGAGTTTATTGTAACAATTAATCATCTTTCAATACAAATAAGTCACTTATATAAATAAATAAAGAGTCTATGTGATGAAGTTTCCTTTATAAGACTTAAAAATATAACATCAAATTTACTTCTGTTTTGTTGACAGTGTTGCCATCAGGTGAAACTCTCAATTTGCTAAATACTTCTTTATGTTTGTTTATATATCTAAATGAATATATATTAACGTGATTTATATACTGTGAAAAATAAACAAATAAAATTCGATATACAAGGCATAATTTATGATTGTCAATAGATTTTTCAATTACGTCTGAGGAAAATAATTTATTAGCACATCTCGCTATACACCCAGCCGTCAGTGTCTGTGCTGTCCTCATGGTCTCGGGTCACACTTAGTTAATAGTGATTTTATAAGTGTATTTCATTAAGTATGGTGAATGTTATGAAAGGAATACTTATAAAATGGTAAGGCTTTTATGTACTGAACTATGGTAGAGGTTGGTAAGGTTTTTATGTACTGAACTATGGTAGAGGTTGTGGTGTAAGGTCGTGGAGATGATCACTAATACCAATGTTATGTTAGGAAATGGGGTTTATGTGTTAAGTAGGGGTAAGTGTTTAGTCATTAATACTGTGTACTAGAAAATGGTGTTACGACGACCTTGGTGACATCTGGAAGAGGCTCAGTTAACTTGGTTCTCCCGTTCGTTAATCTGACCATCACACAGGGTCCAGGGAGTTGGTTTATAACTAAGTACTGGGTAAATATTGACAACCTCCCCGTCACTGTAAATGGTGTTGATGGATCTTTTCGGTAATGTATGAGAACACTGCCACCAGAAGGAGTAGTTTGATATCGTTCATTTTGGTGAATTTATAGTCTTACACGGTTCTTTCTTTCGCTGTTATTAATGTGTATTTCATTATGTTTAGATAATTCTAAGACATTTGTTCAGTCATTTTTCGTTATCCACCCATCACCTTTTTCACACAAAAAATTTATTTTTTTGTTAGTTTTCTTGCTGTTTTAGGCGATTATAAATGTCAGAATCATCTAAAACAGCAAGAAAACTAGCAAACAATATATTTTTCATGTGAAAAAAGGTGATGGGTGGATAACGAAAAATTATCCATTTTTCTAATATGATATTTCCTCCGGAAATTAAGGATAACCGAGATATTAATTTTTCAATATTAATGGATTTGCTCAGTCACAAGCCATTTGTTATTTACATCTCGCGGAGAAGCTCTGACTACCCCCACCCAATGCTTCTTACCTTTGCTTTCGCTTGTTAAGCATCTACAGCGCAGGTGCGGAGGGTGGTGTGGAAGTTTCTTATTGGCTATAGTGATAGGAGACAAGGCGTTAGCTATTCTGTCTGCACAGACGTTGCTGCTGACTTCTGTTGTACATCAGTTATTCCCAAGACGCGGTACGGTCTTATTTTTTTTTGACAGTCCGGGAAAGCTAACGTGTTAGCTATTCCGTGCATCTTAAAACGCCTTACAATAAATGCCTTTATTATTGGGCAATAGTTTTTTGTCTTAGCAAATGAACAATGCGGGGGAGCGTGGATTTGAATTTTCAGTACCAGATATGGCTGAACAGGTGGAAGAGCTGTGCCGACATTGTGATAAAGATTATTTTACATCAATTGTCGAGTTTTATCAGAAAAATAGTGAGGCAATTTCTTTTTTTTTAGAAAACACGGTGTATTACTGAACAATGCTATTTGTCCAAGATGTGAGGGCAGGAACAAAGGGGGTTAGGTTAGGTTTTGTTGGTTGGTTGGTATTTTATTGATTTGATTTACTAAAAAAAAACACTGTTAAGATTGTTAGGCCCCCAAGTAGATGACCATGCCTATTTCCTTTTTAATTTCTTATGTTCTAGTTACCTTCTATTCATTACTAGGACACATTCTGCCCCTTGGTATGTACAGTATTATTGTAGGTGACTAATTTCTTTAATATCTCTTGAAATAAAATATAGTACAGTGCAGTAGAACATTAAGGAAATCCTAATAAGTTATGGTGTTTCTTTTCCAGTGATCCTGTTATGAAACAATTTCTTCTGCACCTTGATGAAACTTTGAAACTGGGATCAAAATTTGTTCTGGTAGACTTGGATGATTGCCACCTGTTTGTGCAACCTGAGGTGTATAACAGTTTAAAGGTAAATCTCAGTGTGTGATCACAGTTTTCATCTTGCTTCTATCATGTTCAAGGTACTGTATGATTATTGTAGGATCAGGAAAGTATCAAATCAACATCCTGGAATACAGTACTGTACTGTACCACAATGGATTAGTATTATTTGTCATAAGTATGGCTTTCAGTCTTTTATGATATATGAGAATGATATAAGCTGAAAATGTATTACAGGTCCACCACCGATTTTCCGGCAACTTTAGTTCCCGAGCCTTGCCGGACCATCCGTTTTGCTGGATTAACAGAGGTCATATATAATAATTAAGCAATACACCTTTGACCCACTAGCTATACACCTCCCGGTATCTTTAAAACACCAAGGCTGCTAGAAACTTAAATTAAACAAATATTTAATATAAATTAAATGATTAAATGAAATACAGGCTGTATAAATGATGCAGGTTTATTAATTACTTACAAAAAATGTTGTAGTACTGCTGCTCCCAGAGTGGCAATTTGTAGAGTTTTACAAATACTGAAGATCTAATTACAAAGGTCTGGAAGCTGGGGGCTGTCAGGGTTGTTCTCTGTTTCATCTTGGACTTGTGGTGTTGCAGGGGGCACATCTGGGGTACCTGAAGTTGAGGCCACAGGTCTTGCAGGTGTGAGCCTACTGCTCTCACATGCATTCTTCTTGGCTAAGTTTTAAACATGTCATTCAGGCGAACTTGTTTCATGTGCTTCGATCTTTTCCTGCGTAATTTTTCATGCAACAAAATACTTTTCAAACCTCTCTGAGGTAATCGCGGTGGTAATCCAGCCCTTCTTATTGGCACGGTATGTCACTGGGTAAATTTTAGCACCTTTCAAGGCTCTAGGGCATTTACTTTTCCCTGTAACCAGTGGCTTACATCTGTGTGTGCCTGCTGCATTTGAGCACCCTAGGATGGTAACTCAATCCTTAGACTACTTGAGTCCTGTGGGCTCTTCATCCTCTGTTGTTAATGTTATTAGTGGTGTACATTGCCAATGTAATGCAGTTTCATCTGCATTATACACCAGCTACAAGCTTGGCAAATTCGTCCACATAGTCAGCAGCTCCTTCCATGTTTGCAGACCATTTTTCACCACAAACCTTATGCATTGCAATTCCATGACTCTTCTTAAACCTTTGAAGCCATCCTTCACTATAGTTACAGTTATGTTCTAAGTTAAGTTCTTTATGGACCACCTTTGCCTGTTCCATCATCATGCTACCTGACAATTCCACTCCTTCAATACAACGTTGTCGAACCCATTCCATCATCACTCTATCATGTTCAGTACTCTTACCGTCTTGCATTGTTTTTCTAATGCACATTTGCTTCTTGGATTCACTTTCTGCATAGAATCTCATTACTTTTTTCTTTGCTTCTTTATATCATGCACAGTTGACGAACCAATACCATACTGATCACACCTGTTGCACCGAAACACCATGGTCAAGTTTTCTCAAGAGTTCCACCTTATCTTGTATCGATATGGATTGGTGATTACGCTTTACACTACCACTGACACTTGTACTTGCCTTTGAAGCCATAGCTGGGGATAAATATGTGCAAAATATGCAAAGAATCACAAAATCAATGGGGCTACCACCAGCAACTGCAGAGTAAACAAACAAAGTGAGCGTGGTTAACACGTAATGCCATCTGTGGCCGCCCAGTAAACTAATCTGGAGGTCGCGGGAATTTCAAATGCCCTTTTGTAATTTTGTCCAGATTAAAAGAGGTGCCGGACTATCCGTTCCCGGAAAATCGATGGTGGACCTGTACCAATTTTATTATATTATCAGGAAATTAAAACTTAGTGCTGAACTTCTTATGGCCATCGGCCTCTCAGCCATGTGGCACAGAGGCTGTAACAACTGCAGTAGTTTTACATACCACTTCAGTACAAAAATTTCAACATTTATTTTGTGGAATTTATGACAATGGTACAGTATAGTGACTCACATTTTCTTTCAGAACCTTATAGATGAGCAGTACGAGAAGGTATACTACAATCAGAAGAGCAGCCTGGAGTAATATACTGTATACTAATTATGACAACACGCGAGTCAGGTGAGACATTGTGTTAGAAAATGGAAATGACAGATGTGCTATCTTATTAAGTACAGTCGCTCAAAAAAGTATCTGAAAAGTGGGGTCCGATGGATGTCAAAATGAAAACTACAACCCCTGTTGTCTGGGCACTGTTGCCTCGGTAGGGTTGGTAAGCGTGAGTAGGCGTAGTTGCCCCAACTGCTTATAACCAGGGTAGTTTATCTTTATAATTACATGTATCCATCGACATGTAAACTGTAAACATTGTATTATAGTTATACCTGTATGAAAGCAGTATAATCACCATACATAGCGTGTTTGATGCCCTATGTGAAACACAGTATCGACGACAGGGTAGAGTTGCCATGTTGCTATGAACCCCAAACTAAGTGTTGTGGATGCAGGAGGTGGTTACAGCAATAAGCGTGAGATGCCATTACTGTTTATCTTGCCTATTAATATAACATACCTTGATATCTAGTACATGTATGCATACCAAATGCTACATATGGATACAGTCAACATATACATTTAGTTGTTGTTGTTGCACAGAGGAACGTTTAAGCATTACCACGCACATATTGTTTACTGTATGTGTCTAACATGGATAATGTCTTTTAGACTGTCATTCCCTGTTAATATAACCATATTAATTATATTCATATGAAACAACTTAATGACAAACGGCAGGAAACGTCTTATATATTACATGGCAACCGTTGTGGCATACAGGGCTACCACCTTTATGCCTGGTCCTCTACCATTTCCCAAAAACATATGTCCAATGTTGAACAATATTTTTTGAGCGACTGTATATGTCCAATAACTAGGTCCACATTATTTGTTTACATCATAACTACTGGCTTTTCAATCTCAGGTCAGCACTATTAAATACAGTACAGTATACGACTCACTAAGCTATACTGTACCTATAAACTGTTCACTGATGAAAACTTGGTATAACTTAACTTATTTAATTTAAACTGTCCAAGTAGAGACCTAGAGGTAAATGTTTTATGTTTATTCTGTAGGTCGGCTGAAGGATGCCTCTACAAGGCGCATCCTGGATGAAGGTGCAAGGAGGAGGCGAGCACGTAAAGCTCTGGAAGCATTGGAGCAGGACAATTTCCATGACGACCCACATGCTAATCTTGTTATGAGTAAGAAGGCGCCCAAATTTGAAGAATCTTTGGATGGCAGTAGAAACAAGGATCGGAAGAGGAAAACAAGAAGTACTGAACATTTTAAACAAAGGTGAGTGGAAAACTGGGGTTAGTTAATTTTGGAATGTAATTCAAATGTCAGAAGGTTGTCATAAAGTTTTAAAGAGAAGCTTTTCTGAAGGTAACTAAACATTGCAACTTATAGATTGTATTTTTTTCTATTATGATTAATCACACACCATAAGAGGCTGATCATACAAGAATATAGTATAATACTATTGAATCAATAAACAAACCAGATGAATGCAACATCCTCCCGCCGTCCCCAGACTGTTTACTGTACATATGCAGTGTCTTAGCTCTCATTCTTAGCACCTCTTTGTAGGTCTACAGCATATCTGATTAGACCACTGTACAGTGCTCAGTTAGCTTGTAAGAGTTCAAAAATGGTTACTGCTTAGCTGCCTCTGAAGAGTTGGGTGTCTGCCGTATGGTTAGTTAATCATCTCAGGTTATCGATTGTACAGTAGCTATAAATCGAGCTTTTATATTTACAATAACTATTTTTTTATTAATTAAAAATAATAATAATGTGATTAAGCAATAACATATTTTTAATTCTGGAGTTGGGTTAGGTAGAATTTAGCCTACTAGAGATAGCAACTGGGGGATTCATTAGCTTATGGGAGACTGCAACTGCACATATAGGAAGCAGGCTGATTTTCTAGCCCTTTTCAGACAAAAAAGTGTGTCTTATATGCCATAAAATATGGTATATACAGTATACATTAAGGAATATAAATGAAAAGTTTCTGAAGAGGAAGAATTTGTTTTCTTGTTTTTATGGATCAAGAAAATGTATATGGGAAGTAATTGTTAAGTGTTGTCCATAGTTAACTTGAAGCATGTACAAGGTATCAGCATTTGTCAGGTCTGGAGGAAGGTGGTTTCTGGTGAAAGTAGGATTGTGTCAAGGTGTCTGGATGTAAGAGGAAGAAGCACATTAGAATTGACATGACATGTAGACATATTGATGAGAGAGTGAATTAAATTTAGTTGCTCAATAAGCCAGTTGTCAAGTTTTCTTATGAATTTATTTCCAGATTTCGAAAGAATTTTCCCATTTTGCTCGAAGAAGAACAAGCTTTATATCCTGAAGGACCAAACTACCTTACTATACAGGCACCTCCTTCTCAACTACCTGAGAGACATATATGTGCAGTTTGTGGATTTCCTGCCCCTTACACTTGTATTCCATGTGGAGCAAGATACTGTTCCACTAAATGTCTTTCTACCCATGAAGATACAAGATGTCTCAAGTGGACAGCTTAGATTTTTATCTTGTCAGCTGGTTAAACAGATCTCTTTGAAATTACAGTATATTGATGGATCAATAGCCAGTTTTTCTTTATTGCATTATGATAATGAATATACCAGGTTGATTATATAATATATTACATTGTGTTTATTTGTAGAATTCAATATTTCCTTACTTAATGTTATTGCAAATGACTAAGTTATAAATAAAACAAATAAGATATAAATTATGCAGCTCGCAGTTTACTTTCCCTCTCTTGGCAAGAGGGACTAGAGCACCAAGTACAGTAAAGGTATGTTGAAGCTGTGCTCTCAATTTTTCAGTAGATGCCACAATGACTATGAGAGGCACACGCGTGATGTCGCAGTGACGTCTTTACCAGTCCACCTCAAACTATCTACCTGACTAGTATTGCCAACGTGCCCTATGCCCGCCGTTAAACGCTCCCGTTTGTTGGAGACGGTGGCAATAGATGACAGTGATGGTGAAGATTTTCATCTTGAGGATAAGACTAAGAAGCAGAAACTGCCCCTGGTAGGGCTCCTGGGGGTGCCACCAACCCTGGTAGGGCCCCTAAGGGAGCCACCGACCCTGGAAGGGTCCCTGGTAGTGCCCCTGGGTGTGCCATTGCCCCTTGCAGGGGCAGGTCTGATACTCCTACTCGCGTTTTTAATTTCGACTTTGCATAGCGGTAAAACGCCTTTGGGTTTGACTTGACCTCGCTTGCAACCAGCCTCTGGAACTCCTTTTCAGCCCATCTACACTCTACCTTTGCTTGGTTCCTGGCTCTTGCATACATCCTCCTGTCCTGCTCATCGTTTGACCCAACCCACGTCTTGAATTTCTGGGTTTTCTTCTTAACTTTGTTGACCGCCGCATGGTTCATGTGTAGGGATCCCCTCGTATTCCTAGAAGCACTGGGTTTGGTCTTGGGTATATATTTATCGATCAAATGGGTCACTTTACTAGTTATGATATTCAGCGTAGTGTCTGCGTTCTTGTGCCTTAATGAGTCAGGCCAGTGGATACCTCTCATCTCTTCCCTCATCCCGTTGTAATTCCCCTTGTAATATTTGCACCTTGGCCTGGCCTTATCTTGAACTAGGTAACAGTTAAATCTGAATGACAACACTATATGGTGAATGGTGGCAACTGGAGCAAGGTGTTCCAGTTTGGCCACCATGCCTTCTTTGTTAGTTATGATGAGGTCTAGTGGTTTGGGTGTTTGCTCCTCTCTGTAATGTGTCGGGTCTCTAACATGTTGGAACAGAAAATTATCTCTCAGAGTTTCTACAGAAAGAGTAGCAGGGTTATTCAAGTCATTTGGGGTGAACTCGTTTCTCCAGTCGATGTCGCCATAGTTAAAAGTCCCCCCCATGATAAGGAGGTGGCGAGGGTTGAACATCGCCACATTGTCTATTAAGGCTCTTAAGTTCCTTTGATTTAATGCCCCACAGTTTGGGGATCTGTAGATACACCCGACAATAAGTGAGCCCCTCCCTTTAGTTTAATTTTACACCACTTGGACTCTTCAAAACATCCTTTCCCTGTACCATCGCCTGGCTGGCTTTAAGGTCTTGCCTAGCATAGATAACCACATCCCTCTTGCAAGTTTCTTGAGAAAGGTTCGTAAATGAGTCATATCCAGCAATACTGAACTCGCATTCCTCTGAGTTGAGTCTCTTGTTCTTGTACAGCAGTTCTACAACTCCTACAATATCTGGTTGGTGTACCTTCAGTAGTGTTTCAAACTCCTCTCTCTTTTCAAGGAACGTGTCAGTATTAGTGTACATGACATTCAAGCCAGAATTTGTTCTCGGTAATGTCTCTGCTCTTAGTAGTAACCCCCCCCCATTCTCAGATGCTGCAGCATTTGCTAAGTATACTGTATTTTGCAGGGTGTGGTTAGAAATGTCATTGTTTACAAGGTGCTCGCCTCCTCCCGGCTGATAGGCGGAGCTGGTGCCACCTCCTGGGTGGGGGGTGCGCTGCTGTCCCCTGGTCCTGTGTCGGCACACTTGCTTCCACTACCCTCTCCCTGAATATAACCCATGTACACTCGTCCCCGTTCCTCCTCGACTATTCCCTTCTCTGCTTCAAGCCTTGCAGGAGCTTCTTGTGCTGTTCCCTCTGCATTACCATGCGATCTGGGTGAATGAATACACTCCAAAATGCCTCGCTCCATGCTAAGTATGATCCTGAGGGGGCGAGGCATGTCCCCCTGCTTTTGTCCCAGCCTCCTCACATCCTGAGGGGTTGATGGCATCTTCAGAACCTCTGTACAAATATTCTTTAACTGCATCTTATCGTGTGTAATCTTATTCTCAGTTCCCTCCGCCTGGCTCTCAGGGACTCCAAAAACTTTTACATTGTTCCTGCGCTGGAAACGTAGAGAATTTCTGTGGTATTTTGGTCATCATCAAAATAAGGAAATCCGGACTGAAGCCGAGCAGAGATGTGAAAGGAGATTTCTATCTTGAAAATACTTTAACCTTTTAGGGGGCACTGCCATACTTACGTATTTTATTCTGGTTAACGCTAGACGATTTTATTCAGCTGAAACCCCTGCCCTCTAAAGGGTTAATGAGATATAAACTGTTTATTGTGGCATAAACATACTCTGTATATTTCTTACGGCCTTTGCTCCCCCTGTGTGGTGTACTCTGCCTCTTACACCATGACTGACGTGCGTAACCACTTCATAAAAGTAAGTCAGATTTGTCTCAATAGCAGTACTGTACGGTACGACAGTCAACACTGCGACGTAGTCACACTTGAGGACGCCGTCACCAGGACTGTGCTTTGATCACTGCTAGATGGGTGTAGCTCGCTCATTGTGTACTCAAAATTATTAATTTAAGTTCCAGTATTGACACTAGAAAACAGTAAAAAAAAATATTTATTTTATTTCTGTTTAAGCTAACAATTTGGAACCAAAGTCACGAATATGTATTTGTTGTACGTATGTATATATGTGATAGTATGCATGTTTATGCCAGTGGAGCCTTGGGTCGTGGGAATACCTACATGTGTGAGTTACATCAATATGATGTCACCCGCCGTCACAACTAACATTTTCTATGATGCACTGCTGTGCTGAAATTTCGTAATACAGAAAACGAATCGTTCATATTTCTGGGAGTAACTATTTTTTTATAGGAAATAAATTTTTTGTATTTTTATCTAACAAAATTTATACACAGTTCATATGTCTATGATATATTTCTAGCTCCTGGAAGCTTTATTATATATATATATATATATATATATATATATATATATATATATATATATATATATATATATATATATATATATATATATATATATATATATATATATATATATATATATATATATATAATCACACGGGGAAAAGGGTGTAGTGGATTTCTCCCCTACAAACGCTGTTTGTCGCTGAGTAGCCGACCCCGCGAATTCCCCAGTGTATGCCTCGTGGTCTAGGTCAACCAGCGCCGCCTTGCATGACGGAGGTCAACTATTAAGCCACGCCTACTGCGGTTATATAAGACCTCACCTGGCCTTCATCGCCCTCTTTCTACCTACACCAACCAGCAAGCAACACCACCTCCTCCTCCTCCTGCCTGGCGGTCCTCGCTCCCGCCGGCGAGCATGGCGACCCACAAGCTGTCCTCCTCTGAGCATCCTCACCACCCAGCTCTCTCTACATCACGCTTGTAACCACGCTGCCACTTCCCAGCACCAAGCTGCACTGTACATCCAATATAATATGTATACAGAGAGCACATTGTGAGTTTCCTTTCTCCATCCCATCCTGAGTGTGAACCAAACATCACGTACCCCACAAATGGTGACCCCCGGAGATTCGCACTCACACAGGATGGAGGAGAAACCGATCACGCTCCCAGTCTTCAAGCAACATGGAAGACTGGCTTATCCACCCAGAAGCAGCTCTCATCGGCTCTACAGCTACTGTCTCTACACCGCAGGTTAGACACCCTAGAGCAGCACGGCTTCTCTAAGCAGACACCAGCTCCTCTTCCTGCCCCAAGCACCACGTCCTACCGACCCCAGCACACCCGTCCTGCCTCAGACGCCGCTCCCGGCCCAGCAGTACCCCCTGCCGCTCCTCCTGATGCAGCCCCTGCTCCCAACGCAGCCCATGTGTCTGAGTGCGGACCTACACGCCCCTCTTTTCTCCCTCAGGTACTCCCTGCTACTGTCCTGCACTCTGCTGCTGTCACGAGCCCTCATCCGCTTCTGCTGACGCAGCCCCTGCTCCTGACCCAGGCCCACACACCCCAGCAGGCGCATCTGACGACTCTGTACCTGACGTGAGGGAAGCACAACATTCATCGCCTCCACACACCCATTTTCTCCCTCTCTACTCCCACAGATATTGTGTATCTAGACAGTTGTCTCCTCTAGTGGCCGGCTCATTCACGCCATTGCCGTTATGGCTCACATGAGGCATGCACCGCCTGTTCTGCCTCACATGTGCCATGAACCCCTGCAGACAACAAGTCTCCTACACCGCCTGGAGGGAAGGAGGGAGTATTGTAGTGGATTTCTCCCCTACAAACTCTGTTTGTCGCTGAGTAGCCGACCCCGCGAATTCCCCAGTGTATACCTCGTGGTCTAGGTCAACCAGCGCCGCCTTACATGACGGAGGTCAACTATTAAGCCACGCCTACCTCCGCTATATAAGACCTGACCTCGTGGTGACCACGCTGCTTCTAGCTCCAGCCGCAGCCAGCAACACCTCCTCCTCCTCCTGCCTGGCGGCCCTCGCTCCCGTCGGCGAGCATGGCGACCCACAAGCTGGTCCTCCTCTGAGCACCCTCACCAACCAGCTCTCTCTACATCACGCTTGTAACCATGCTGCCTTCCCAGCACCAAGCTGCATTGTACATCCAATACAACATGTATACAGAGAGCACATTGTGAGTTTCCTTTCTCCATCCCATCCTGAGAGTGAACCAAACAACCTGTTCCCCACAAGGGAAACAACGGAGCACCTTAGCTTTCGTCTTTATTCAAGCAATTATCACCCTTCCTTCCTCCAGTATAATTTGCATGCCAGAAAATACCCAGACTCCTCCTCCCAGTTACCAAGGTAGTTTAAGAGGTTTTAATGCTGAAGCCCAAGTTTATGTTGTGTCAGGGATGCCTGGGTGGTGGCAGCATAATTACCAGTTAATGAATTAATGAGAAAGATAATAAGTAAGTACAAATTCTCAGACATGCCCAA